CTTCTGGGAAGATGGCTTATTTACCCATGGGAAACAGGGTCCCATTATGAATAGGACATTCATGTGCTAAGATGTGTGGACTTTTCAAAAAGTGTCATAGAACATCAGAGCAGGGGTGCTTCCAAGAAGGCTGTTACGTCACTTATATCACCAGAAACCATTTTGGATAACCAGGGAATTCTACTCTGCCTTGGCCTTCTAGCAGGTGCCTGTGCACTCAGTCACCAAATTCAGCCTGAGCATCTTCTGAATGAGATGCTCTCCTCCGACAAGGTGGGAGGGGGTGAGAAGGGGGGCGGGGGGAAAAAGAAAGGAATGAGGACTAAAAAGATAGGCCTGGGTCCTCGTATATGGGAATAACTTCCATAAAATGTGGACAAGGGGTCTCTGCCGCGGAAAGGCGTCTGCCCTCTCCCTTGAGCGCCCCAAGGCAGAGCTGCCTTAGGGGGCCAAATGCTGTATCTGGGCCAAAGCCTGGCCTACAGGGCAGGTGGCCAGAACTTGGAAGGAATTCTCTTCCGCAGCCCAGGGTCCAGGCTTGGCCCCAGCAAGCTGCCCTGCCAGCCTCTGCTGCCCGGGGCCTCGCGCATTCCGAGCCCCCGCCCCCTCCGCCCGTCTCTCAGCCTCGCCCCCACTCTTGTCCCCTTCTCCTCCCCCCACCAGCTGTCCCCTTTCCCTGGAGCAGCAAGACAGCCAGAGCCTGGGAAGAGGCGGCCGCGGGCCGGAGGGGGCGTGGTGGGGAAGGGGAGGAGGGGCGGGAGTGAGAGAATAAGGAGGCCCCGCGGTCAGCGCCCCCAGCCACTGCGAGACCGCCGGAGAGCTGGGTGCCACCGCCGTTGCCACCGCTGAGCCCTGCCCGCCGGCCGGCCCGCTCGCTAGCTCGCTTCCCCTCGCCTAGGGGGAAAGGTCAGCAGCGTCCTGGAGCCGCCGTGTCACTCCCCGAAAGCCATGAACTGCAGCGAGAGCCAGAGGCTGCGAACCCTTCTGAGCCGCCTGTTGCTCGAGCTGCACCATCGGGGTAACGCCAGCGGCTTGGGCGCAGGCCCTGGCCCCAGCATGGGCATGGGGGTCGTGCCTGACCCTTTCCTGGGCCGCGAAGTGACCAGCGCCAAGGGCGACGACGCCTATCTCTACATCCTGCTCATCATGATCTTCTACGCCTGCTTGGCCGGAGGCCTCATCCTGGCCTACACCCGCTCCCGTAAGCTCGTCGAGGCCAAGGACGAGCCGTCCCAGGCTAGCGCCGAGCATGAATGGGCCCCAGGAGGCGCCCTGGCCGCCGACGCCGAGACTGCCGCGGACTCCCCGGCCGAGGGCTGCCGCCAGCTTGCCCCCGGGGGGCTGCCTGCCCTGACCCAGGGGGCTGAGCGGGTCTAAAACCACAGCCCCAGGTTGCTGGTTCGCGCTCTCCTCATCTCGCTCATCCCTGGGCGCGCCTCCCGCCTTTCACCCCCCACTCCCTTCCAGGGTTCGCCTCATCTGAGGCCCAAGTAATGGTGACAGGCCAGGAGACCTTGTCTGGAAGGCCCTGGAAGGAGAAGCACCACCTTACCCATTCCTGGCCAGTTTCTCCCTCTTCACCCCTGCGCCTCCACCCCTACCCCTCACATCCAACTGCACTAAACTGCCTCTGCTCTCTTGTCTTCAGACAGCCCTGACAGCAGGCTCCAGCCCTCTGGGAACTGAATCCAACACGTCCAACACTTGGCATTGAACTGAAGCAATGCATTCTATCAGAACTCTGGGCCTTCTAACTGGCAGCTGCTCCAGGGGCTGCCAGCGACTGCTCACTCTGTAGAGCCAGCAGGCTTGCCAGGCCGACTGCAGCAGCTCCAGCTTCCAGTTGCCTTAGGGACAGAGACAAAGGAAATGAAGAGACCTCAGACATCTTTTCCCTCCCTCTCTCTTTCAGTAGGGAGCTAGCAGGACACTAGGAACAGTCTATGGGATAGAATGAACTTAATGGGGGACGGAAGCGGGAGGAGTGCTCAACCGGGAGGGAAATGATCTATGACTGCAACTGTATGGTTTTCTCGCCTCCCCAGTTTTCATCCCAGTGGTAACTTCCCTGATTTCTGGTAGCTATGCCATCTTCTGCTGAGGGTTACCATTACTGGGTGTATCACCCCCATACTTCCAAATGCCTCTCTTCTATTGATTCAGTTGTTATTGCAGTGTCTGCTTCATCCGTGGAACTTGAGGCTCAGATGTTCCCTGCTCTGTAACCCTGGGGAATGTCAGAGGCAGATAATAAAGGTTGTTTAAATAATAACGCAAGACTCTTCTCTCAAAGATTCCAGCCTTAAGACCCAGTACCATATGGAGAAGGAATCCTTTCTCTTTTGCTTTTGGAAATGAAGTTTGGATTTGGGGGTTGGGTGGTTGTGATATTTGTATCTATATATCCAGTTCCAATTTGATACGTGTGATTGTGGGTGAAGAAAATGTTTATGTGGCTAAATGGGTTGTTTCTTCAAGTGTTTCAAAAGTTATACCTACTTTATCACTTACCCCTCCTTTTTTCTTATTTCTGAAGCACTTTCAAAGATCACAATGCAGTTTTTCAGGATGCACTTTAAAAAAACCTCTAAGACCCATCACTTTCAGCTATTATCAAACCTAATGTTTAGAGGCCGCCTTAATAACTTTTTATTTTACTTTTTTTGAGACAGAGTCTCTCTGTGTCACCCAGGGTGGAGTACAGTGGCACAATCAAGGCTCACTGAACCCTCTGCCTCCTGGGTTCAAGTGATTCTCCTGCCTCAGCCTCCCAAGTAGCCTCCTTAGTAGCTGGGATTACAGATGTGCCCCACCATGCCCAGTTAATTTTTGTATTTTTAGTAGAGACGGGGCTTTCACCATGTTGGCCAGGAGGGTCTCGAACTCTTGACCTCAAGTGATCCGCCTGCCTTGGCCTCCCAAAGTGCTGGGATTACAGGCATGAGCCACCGCACCCAGCCAATAACTTTTTTAAAGTGGCTTACTAACAGACAAGGAAGCCACCAAATAGTATAAATCTGAAGTCAAAGAGAAAATTCTTGAACTGAGCAATCTTAACCAACGATGGGTAAAGTTAGAGGTATGTGTTGTACTCATCTGTTCTCCTTGTCTCAAAAAGGTTGTCAGAAATTTCCCTGCTTACAGCTGAAATGCTTATATCTGATGATGGCTGTTTGGGCTTCATCAACCACAAATAAAATCACCTCTTAGAAGTAAGCCAATTTGCTTAAATATAGCTGGGTTCTCTGATAATGATAGCAGGACAAATATATTACCAGTCACTTAAATGCACTGATAACACACAAACCTCATTCAAGGCATTGGGTCTGACCTTCCAGCCCATCTAGCATTTTATTGGAACTATTAATAAGTTAAGTGAACTTACCTTTATTTCCAGGATTCACTCCTTGAAGCTATACTGGCCTTGCCCCATTGGCTCTTCTCCAGTCCTTGTTCCAGCCACAAGGTCACTCTTGAAGGTGAGGGCCAGGGATTGGGCAGGAGTCCAAGACGATGACAGAAAGAGAAGGGAAGCTGTGTGAGCCATTTCAGCCAGGCAGGAAGGCCTGGGGAGGATGTGGAGGGAAGGCATAATATACAGCAATGCTGAGGACATGTGACGGGGCAGTCTTCAGTCCTGTGTTCTAAGTAAAACAATGCCATTCATTTATCTGGCATAATGGGGACTCAAGGTTATTAATTTTTAGAACTGAGATGAAGTCTTGCTCTGTCGCCCAGGCTGGAGTGCAGTGTTGCGATCTTGGCTCACTGCAATCTCTGCCTCCCAGGTTCAAGGGATCCTCTTGCCTCAGTTCCTGAATAGCAGGGTAGCAGGGCTACAGGCTGCGCCACCACACCGGCTAATTATATATATATATATACACACACATACATATATATATATTTTTAGTAGAGACGGGGATTCATCATGTTGGCCAGGTTGGCCTCAACCTCCTGACCTCAAGTGATCTGCCCACCTCGGCCTCCCAATGTGTTGGGATTACAGGCGTGAGCCACTGCGCCCAGCCTCAAGGTTACTTTGATAATGAAGCATAGTCACTGCTTCAGGTGTTGAAATTTGGTACACATTTGTATCATTTTCCCATAGACATTTAAAAGAATATATTGCCAAAAATAAAAGAAGCTGGGAGCAGTTGGGACAGTGCCCATACTATATATTAATGTGCCAGCTGTGGAAAACAAATCCCATGGAAAATGTTCCTGCTTTTAAAAACATTTTAACCTTTTTATGATGACTTAGGGTACCCATGAAGAACATGTAGCGAGAGTAGCTATAGAACCCTCCTGGTGAGAAAAGTGACGTGGGCTGGGAAGAATGATTTAATTTACTTTCTAGTGGCTTTTTTCAAATACTCTCAGACTTTCAACTGTCTCCCAGATAATGAAGTTTTTCAGAAGTCTGGATACTCAACTTTTACCAGACAGTGGAGGTGTTAACAGCGTTGAAGTGATCATATTGTGGTCAGCAAAAGATAGGGAGAAGAAAGAAGAACTGGGTGCTGCTTGGCCAACCCCTGGTTTTGATAATGTATCCCTGAATAGCAATAGCTGACTACACAAGTTGGGAAAATGTTAGCTTTGTCCTTAATGTGATTTTAAAGATGTTAAACATTCTAATAGAATGATTTTTTTTTTTTACTCCACCAAGCAGTCTGTTTCTCCTCTGCATAACCAGATCCTCTTTCAATTCAGGTTCGATCTTCACTTCAAAATAATAATGAAGCAAAAGACCTTTGCTTCCTTACTTGTAACTTGAGGCTTTCTAGAAAGAAGAACTAGGGGAATGTTTTGAGTTTCAATGTCTGGAATTACTCATCGACAGTGCGAAAAGAAATGCTTTTCTTCTATTACAGACACAATTCTGTGTTGTCAATTTTACTTTTCTAGAAGGATATAAGTGGGGTCTTTTGTTTGTTTGTAGTTACCATCTTCTCTTTTTCTTTTTTTTTTCCCCAAAAAAAGAAAAAACTTTACTCAAATCCAGTGGAAAAATAAATGATAGAAACTATACACAACATAAAAATAGCCACATTTACAAAGCTGCAGCCTTGATAAATGATGGGCCATGGACACAGCACGGAGCTTATCAGTCCCAAATCCCCTCATCTGTGTTAGGGGCTGGTTCAGTTGGGTCAGACTTGGTTTCCTGATTCTTTTTAAATAAAATTTCTTAATTATTTTTTCTTAAATAGAGACAGGGTCTCACTCACTGTGTTGCCCAGGCTGGTCTTGAACTCCTGGGCTCAAACGATCCTCCCACCTCTGCTTCCCAAAGTGCTGGGATAACAGGCATGAGCCACTGTGCCTGGTCGTGATTTTTAAGAGTTGGTCAGGTGATCTTGAGTAGCTTGGTCCAGGTAAACACAAAGTGACCTTTGTCAAATCATGAAAGGTTCTGTTTTGTTCAGTACTGAAGAAGATTCCTTTGTACTCCTGGCTGTGACCTATCCCTGAGGTATCCTGAGTTCTGGAATCTGTAAGATTCCTCTAGTTTTTCTGGCTGCTGATAGCCCAAGTCAGACTGTGGTACCAGCGTGACAGCTCCTCCTGGTCTGTGGACATAAGCAGTAGCTTCTCATGAGGGAAGGACAGACTGAGCAACCCACCACAAGGGCCTCCTGAGTGGCCAAAGACCCTGCTGAGTTGACACTGGGCCATGGGGTAGAGGGTCTTGCAGGCAAAGGTGCCACTCTGCAGCAGGTGCAGTGGAGGTCGAGGCTTGGCCATGAGCAGCACATCAGTGAAGAGGAAGAACATGCGGGGCCGAGGCTCCCCATGGGAAGGCACCACCAACAGCCAGCCCTGGCGTAGGAACCAGCGCCCTGAGGTCAGCCCCTTTGCCTGGCGTCCACTGAGCAGAGCCTGGACACGCCGAAGGTGCTGGTCATTCTTCTGTTTCTGACCAATAGTGTGGACTCTCTGGGCAGTCTCACTTATCAGTCGGGCAGCCCGTGTGAGCTGTTGATGGTCAGGGCTGTTGGGACCTGTGTTTTCAGCCAAAACAACGACGAGATTCTCATACTGCTGGAGCCACTGCAGAGGCAGAGGGAGTAGGTCCTGGAGCTGAAGGCCCCCAAACTCAGGGCGGCTTTCCTGAAGCCGCACAAACCTCCGGAAACCTTTATTTTTCTTTAGCTGCTCCTGCAGGGTGGTCTGGGATCTCTCTGAGTTGGCAGCAAATTGGTTATAGAGCTCCAAGTGGCGGCAGAAGCCCTCCAGCCCTTGGCCCCAGCATCCTCCTTCCAGGTAGGGAAGCAGCTCCTGGCTGGCGCCGTAGATGAGCTCCCAGGAGCCAAACAGGGCCTGGCGCTCAGGTGGTCGCAGGGTCCCCTTGGCTTTCAGGATCCCCAAAAAGTACGTGGCCACCAGTCCCAGCTGTTCTTGGTAGCGCCGCTCAGTCTCTTAGCAGCTCCCGGGCGGTGCAAGCGCGTTTCCGCTCCCAGCGGGCACGCTGCTCTTGCACCGGGGACCGCACACCCGGGTAGTGGATCTCCATGCCTGGCTCCATCTTCTCTTTTTCAATTTGTCGTTGCTTTTATAAACCCAAGGTCTGCACATAACTTGTATCATCAACAACAATAAAAGGGTCTGGGCTGCTTTCCAAACAATCTTGCCTGCCGGCTAAAGCAAATACACCATGATGTGGAGAGAGCATAGGACCAGAAATCAGGAGAACTTGGGTCCAGCTCAGGCTTTGCCAATTAACCAGCTTTGTTTCTCAGAGTGAGCTGCTTAACCTCTTGGTGCCCCAGTGTCTACAGCTGTGGGGATTTGAGGATCAAGTGAGATAATAGATGGGAAAAGGCTAGGAGAAGTATAGAAGCTATAGAAGGTATTAAGTTTATACTTTCCTTTTCTTTCTTTGGAGGAGTGCTCTCTGCACTTGGGTAGCGGTAGTGGGAGGAAGAGAAAAGTTTCCATTATGTAGTTTTTACTGTTAACGCTCAAAGAAGAGGATTGCTGATACTTAGCCACTGGCTCCCACATTTTCAAGCTTATCTACCCCATTCTCAGGATCTTGGCTGACTAGGAAACTGCATAACTGTCTCACCATTCTACTCTACTCTCGTTTACCTGCAGGCCCATGGTGCTCTTTAAAAAAAAGTATGACAGTAGCACTTTATTTACAATGCTCCACCAGGACTGGAGTCTAGACTTTTGAAGACAGGAGTCCTCAGGGATTGGTAGTGAGCATAAGAGAAAAGAATGAAGGGTAAGAATCATGGGTGCTGGGCTTCATAAGGGAGGTAGGAGGAAGAGTGAACTGGAATGTTCTGTGACGGTAAGAGAGTATGACTGAGGATCACCAAAGGTGAACAGATTAGATTGGTCAATAGTCAGCCTAGATGAACTTGACCTTTCCATCAAAAATGGCCTTGGGAGAAGCTGTTGGATGAGAAGTCACTTTTCAGCCCTTTTGTTCCTACTTAACATAACCTATCGGCTGTCCAGGAAGACAAATAATGTGGTTAAGCCAATTCCTCTTTCGGTGCTAGGCCTCACAGCATGGGACCAGGTGGCCCCAACTAGTCCCCCATCTGCTATGTTTTGAAAGAGGACAGAGTCGTGGTCAAAGCTGTGGCCTGTGCCTCTTCCTCTGAAGAGAGTGCAGCCAGAGTAGACAGGGAAATCCCTCAGATACATTTTTTAGATTGTGGTAAAATACACATTATGTGATATTTACCCACATAGCCATTTTTAAAAGTGTACTGCTCAGTAGTGTTAAGTACATAGACATTGTTTTACCACAGTGCCATTTTCAGTCAGAGAAAAACGAGAACGCTTAAATTCCCTTAAATAGAAGTGGCATACTTAATCATTGCTTTAGATGGTACCCCTTCCATGGATATTCACATTTTATAACAGATCACTTAGGATAGTGTAAAGGTAAAACCCCAAGAAAGAAACTCCAGTTGTGGGGTTCAGTGGAATATGGAAGAAGATGTACCTTGAAATGTTTACAGATGTCAGGCAGAGTACACAGGTGGGTATGCTGGACTTCCCACAGCTTCTCAAGTCACATTCTACTCTCACTGCCAGATGCTCTTGGAACCCTGGGGAGGATGGAGGTGGCCATGAATGACTGGATTGCAGTATAAACTCACTGGATTTCCACATACCTGACTCATAAGATGTCTATTCAAGAAAACACTTCAGGTCCCTAGAAGAACAGGGGATCTCCCCTTGGTTCTTTTTAGGATCTAACTGTGATCCAGTAGGGGCTACAGCTCCAGCAGGCCCAGCACAAGAAAGAATGGAGACAAAGGACTTGTTAATTTCAATCTTCCTCTTTTAGGACCACTTCTTTAGGGGCAATGTGATTAGGATCAGCTTCTGGAAAAACTATGGGATTGGTATTTATCTCATTTTTCCCCTTCTTGTTCCGAGCTCACTCTTGCTCTCCCTAGTCCCAGTATTCCCAAACTATCTCTTTCCTACTGCTAGGATCTAATGATCTTATTCATTTATACCTAATCTGCGATTCATCTCAGCGATGATGCAAGAATATATTTTTAATAGTGGCTTTCAGACACTGAGTGAGGGAGAGGGGCATGAAAGAGGGCTTGTCCTAGGACACTCAAATATGATATGGGTAAGCTAACTCTGGCAGTCACAACATTGTGATTAGCTTCTCAAGGAAAGGACTTTTTTTTTTTTTTCTTTACTCCACTGCTTCTAGGGGATTTTGGAAGACTGCAACATTCAGCCTAGGAGGGCATCTTCATTTTCATGTGAGGCTCCTATTGTGGGGGATAAGATGGGGGTGGAGATGGGAGTAATTGGGGCAGATGGAAGGGGAGAGAAGGCCTTGCCCTGCTTCCCAGTTAGCCCTCTGTCCACTGGAAGGCCACCTTAGCAAACATAACACCAAGAGGAATGGCTGAGGGGAATGAGGGAAGAAATACTAGGATGGGTCCCCTGAGGACTGTAAGAATGGAGTTGCCATCATTTTCCTGCAATCTACCTATAAGTCTCTACTAAATCAAGGCCACAGAGAAATGACAAGCCCTGCTTGGAGGTAGCTGCTCTGAAATCAGCTGGGTTAGTCTCCATCCTGTGTACCAAGTATGTGGCACTATCCCATGGAAGTGTGAGCCTCTCCTCTAGCAAGTCCTGGTGGCTGGTACGTTCAAGATCCCCCACCTTCTTATTTTTTCCATCTTCCACTAAGGCAGAATACTGTGGTGCATAGGATGTAGGTGCTAGTGCCAGGCTGCATGGGTCCAACTCTATGGTTTTTCACTAACTGGGTGATGTCAAGAGAGTTACTTAACCTCCAAGCCTCCTTTCCACCTCTGTAAAGTAGATGTAGTACCTACTTCCCCAGGGTTGCTGTGAAGATTAAGAAGTTAACATAGTGCCTGGCCCAGGGGAAGGGTTCAGTAGCTACCATTCTGTACTTCCCTCTCATCTTGACTTTCAATCCCTCCACTACTATTGCTATTTTTCAGGATATTATTCTTCTTCTGGCTCCATTTGTTTCATTTCTTGCCAGCACACAAAATATATTAGGCTTGTTCACCTTAAAAACAACTCTCTTGCCCTTCTTCCTCCTCCAGCTGTTGCCCTAGTGCTCTTTTCCCTTTTTGATTAAAACTCCTCAAATGAATGGTCTACACTCTGGCTCTGTTTCTCACCTTCCAATCTTGTCTCAATCCATTGCAATACGGTTTTCAGCTCCTCACACCAATGAAACTGCTTTGTCCTGGTCACCAATGACCTACACGTTGCCAAATCTAATGCCCAATTTTCAGTCTTTATTCTTTGTGACTATTTAGCAGCATTTAATGGAGTTGATGACTCTTGTTGAAATTCATCTTTTTACTTCCATAACACTTCAGTCTCCAGGACTGTCTCTTTCTTCACTAGCCCTTTTTCTTCTCAGTCCCTTTTAATGGTGCCTTCTCATCTCCTCAACCTCTCAATGTTGAACTGCCCATGACTTCATCCTGGGACCTTCTCTCTTCTCCGTCTTACTCTTTCTCCTTTGATGATGTCAAATAGTCTCAACATGAAAAATATTATCCTCACATATAAATACAATCTTTACAATTATGACTCCCAAATTTATATAGTTTTTATCTATTGAAACCCCTACTCTTCAGACTTGCATATTTGACTGCCTATGTAACATCTCTCCTTGGGTATCTAAACCTATCTCGAAGTTAACACGTCCAAATTAGAGTTTTTGAGTTCCTTTCTCCCAAATTTGCTCTTCTATGTGTGAAAGAAAAAACAATCCCTGACATCTGGGAACTGATGTGACATTTACATCTAGGTTTCACTCTTCTTAGAAGCTTGCCTGATGTTCACAGGTAGGCCATGTTATTTTCCTATTGGACATAAGCAATCTCACCAGTACCAGATAAGTCCAATGGCAAGACAAGACATGTCTTTGTGACCATAACGAAGTAAGACAAAACAAGATCATTTCATCATGTTATATATGCACAGACAAACATAAGGTTAGCGTGAAACACAAAACACCAAACATCCTCCTTTCCTAGCTAATTTGAGTGAATACTATTGCTCTAGAAATTACACCTTTGGTCTTTCTGTGTAGTCGTTCCTGCTTCTAGATGAGACTTATTAAGATACTTAATTATAGGATTACCCTTATTGATAGCATCCATTTTTGTAAATGGTACTACCACCAACCACCCATTTGCTTATGCCAAAACAGAAGTCAGATTGATTCTGCTCTTTCCCTCATCCTCCCACAGCCAATCTAGGAGCCAAATTCTTTCCATTGTACCTTCAAAAGAAATTCTACATGTAACCACTTCTCAAGATCTCCACTTCTACCACTGTAGTCTATATCCCCATCATTTCTTACCTGAACTAGCCTAACACTTCCTAGTTGGTCTTCCTACCTTTACCATTGCCCCCCACAAGAATCAGTTCTTTATACAACAGTCAGAACAATATTGAAGCATAAAGTAGAACATGTCTCTTCTCTATTTATGTTCTAATCATATGGGTAATCCAAGGCCCTCCATTGGGTTACCCATACGATTAGAACATAATCTCAACTCCTTACCATGATTTATAGCCCCTCATGATCTGACCCTAGCCAACCTCTCTAAACCTCATCTCCTGATACTCTTTTCTCCTTGCTTACTAAACTCAAGTGACACTAGTCTTCTTGCTGTTTGTTCCTTGAACACTTCAAGTTCTTTTCTGCCTCAAAGTCTTTGCATGTTGTTTCCTCTGCTTGGAATGTTCTTTATTTACATCATCCAATGGCTGTTTCCTTCTCATCATTCAGGACTTAGTTCAATGGCAATTTCTCAGTGGCCTTCCTTCACCATCCTATCTATAGTTGCTCCTTTTTCCCACTCCCACCCTATTGTCTATCCCATTGTCCTATATATTTACTTTACAGCAGCAAACAATGACTAAAATAATCATTTTTATTTACTTACTAGTTTACTGTCAGTCTTTCCCATGCAGTCTATAAGTTCCATGAAGGCAGAGATGTCATGGTCAATTTTTTT